AGTATAACTATACATAATATTTATTTTATATTTTAATTAACAAACTGATCATTAACATACTTATAATTTTATTAGGTGATTGGATATCACCAACTGTCACTGGAGACAGACCATCTCCTATTAGCTCCTTTACTTTAACATCAATTGATGATTCCAGTGCTATATTATTTGGAGGTGACACTGCTAATGGAAGGAGTAACAATGTATATATTCTTAATTTTACTGATACATCAGTGGTGAGTGTATTATTGGTATAATTACATTAATTATTAATTAATTGATATTATTATTTATGAGTGTGTGGTGGTAGCTAAACTTTATTTTATTATTCTAGAATTGTTTAAAGTTATCTAATCCTGGAGGATCACTACAATGGCCTAAGGAAAGACGTGCTCATTCCAGTGTATTGATTAACACTAGCTTAGGCCCACACCTATTAGTGGTGGGTGGTGGCACTTATGATCTTTGGATATTTGATATTAAAAATAAATCATGGAAGCAACTGGTGAGTATAACATTATATTGTGGGTGTGACATATTGGGTGGAGTTTATGGTTTTGGATAAACTATTGTATGAGGAATGAATTGATCAAATTTTAATAAAATTATAAAAATACATGTACTGTACGTGACAATGAATAATTATTTTGTTTATTATAATTCTTCTCTATAGTTTAATACGCCAAAAAATGTCACTAATAGATGTTGGCATTCTCTCTCAGTGTGGAGTGTGACACAAACTACTAACTGGATAATTGAGTTTGGAGGAGCCACACCATACACTGATACAGCAGTTATTGAACTCCGTAAGTACATGTACATGTAAATACAAAATTATTGAATTTATGCATATTGAATATGATAATTATGCATGTAAATTAACAGTATAATTATTAAATTGTTATTGTACTTGTTTGTGTACATGTACTTGTTATTAATTCAACTATTTTGTTATTGTATAGGATATACTAGTGATAATGATTGGTCTACTAGTGTAATACCTCTGGACCAGTATCAAGAGAAACTACAAGAAAGGAGAAGAGAATGGGAAGCATCTCAACCTGTTCAACCTGAGGATAGAAGAGAAATAGACCGTCTGACACATGTACTACAAGAAAGGGAAAGGGAACTACAGGAGGAGAGAAGAGAAAAGGAACAAGTTAGAAACAGACTACAGGAACAACTTCAAAAAAAAGAATGACAACTTCAACAAGCACAGCAACAAGGACAAGAAAGAGAGAGACAAATTCAACAGGCAATGGAACAAGAGCAAGATCTTCAACAACAGCTTCAATCAATTAATAGTATGTACATGTATGTAATAGCACAGTTGTTTGTTATGCATGTAATTGTGTGTCCAGGAAAAGGACTAGGGAGGGCTTGAGAGGGCTGACCCCTCTTATTGCTTGCTTGGCATATTTTTTATCTTTGTATTAAATTTACCTGTCATTTCATCAGTACATGTACATGTATTTTTAGTCAAAATTTAAGGTCTGCGAGAATTACCTGTTTCACTACATGTACATGTGTATATATATGTATATATCAGTATAGTATGCATAAGTGTATTACTCATACAGCTACATGTATACTGTAGCATGTATTATTATAGGGAGGTAATACTGTGGAATTGATGATACTCTGTACCTGGTCAGTGACACACCAGTGGTGGCCAATTTATTATATTAATTTTAAAAC